GATATTCAATGCCGCACAGCTCCTCAGCGTGAACCTGGAGCTGCAGAACCGTCCGTTATCAGAGGTGAACACTTTTTTTAAATACAGTTATGGGGTGTTCAGAATGGCTGCCACTTGCTGCATTTTTCCCTTTTCGTCCAATTTTGTTTGGATTTTGTTATTTTTCTATTACAATATTCTTTTTTTACGTTTACAGGGGACATAATTGAATTGATACACAAGACTTTGGTGTTATTCGAGTCACTTTCAACAAATCAATTGAGTGAAGCTAAGCCCACAATGGGACAAAGAAATATGGATGGTGTCTTTCATTTAAATCTTTTTCCGATTTCAATATTTAATTCGCTTTACTAAGTTTCCGAAATCTTCATTTTAGTCTACATACTGCAAGTGTAATTTAACTAAATATTGGCAATACATCCGGCATATACAGCAGTGAGCGCAACTACCATTTGGTTTGACGTTTTGCTATTAAGTTAGTTTGAGTAACTTAAAAGTATGTTAAGTAACAGTAAAGCCGCTGAGCTTCACGTCAAGTCTACTGTTAAGTAGAATTACCACTCATATTGAACCAAGTAGTTAGTAACATAATGATTTCTACAAAACTCAATAGATGTCGTTAGGGTCTTGCATGGGCCCTACGTTGGCAATAAATATATAATATTTTCTCACTTACAAATAAAAGGAGTTTTAAACTTTTTTATTTTAAAGAACGTGTGAAGGCTTTATACCATTTGTGCTTTATGCAATAATATGGAGCCGCCATGATTATTTACCAATCAATTGTACTGAAGTACAGTGTATTTGAGTCCGAAACTTCTCCACTACTGCTTGAAAGCGCAATGGAAAAAAAATCTGCAAGAATTTACGCCTCGTTCTTTTCATTTCAATACTGGCTTATTGATATTGAACTCGTATTCCATTCAAAAATTTCGAAACCGATCGAAACTGATTTCCAATGTTCAAAAACTGTGGCGGGAGTGGAAAGTAATGCGTTTAGGGGCATCAAACATTCATCCTGGGGAAATAGCTATTTCTTTCAAGAGTATATCAAAATGACTTTGACTCTAGCTTTGACCTAGCTTTGACTCAATCGGTCAAAAGTCGAATAACACAGAAAAAAAGGGACACAAAATTACATATCAGACATGAATGTTTTCCTATAGACTAGCAAAACTCCGCCGGCGTTTTTGATTAGTAGCTCGTATAAGAAAGTAATGGCCATAGACAGTTGTCATTGCTCAGTCGATTTTTCTCAATATGGAACATGCAGATTTTAGGCCATATCTTGTGAAATTTTTGAAATATTATATTATTATTAATAGTTGCTGTCAATGACAAAGTTGTAGAAAAGAGTCCAAATAACAAATTTTATGAACATAACCTTAAAAAAGCTTTTGGTCAATGTTTTGGAGCAAAATGTCGAAAAAATCGAAAAGAAATTCAATTTTTCGACCATAGCTCAAAGAGTATGTAATTTTTTTGGTTATTGTTTTCAGCAAAATTGTAGCCTAGGGGGAAAGATCAATTGGTCGTACGCTATTATCTATGTTATTGGCTATTCATCGTTATTCATTGGTATATTGGTGTGAATTGGTCAAATAAATTGAATATTCGTGTCAATCGTGTACATTTAATGTGAACTCAACATAAAAATATAGAACAATAGAGACCGATGTACGCCGATATCTGCCAATATGCAGATAAACGCTTATTTTTGAAAAATAACAATACATCAGCGAATTCGTTTAAATTCACGTTTAAGTGCCACGTACTTTTGGTTAAAGCGCTGTACCGAACGCTATACTTCTACCTGTATCTGCTTCTTATATCAAACGAATCTTTGAAAACTGATTATGCATGAAATGAAAAAATTAATAGAAACCAGAACCTACATTTATTTGTAATTACTATTTTCTATAAACGTAGCTATGAACAATCACATATGAATTATCTTACGAAATTATGTTTAGTTCATGATTACTTGCCGTAGTACTGGTCTAGAAATAAATGACACTAGAAATGACATGATAAGTTTGCTGATAAATAAGTACTTAAGTACGCGGTACTCGAGCAATGGCCTAAGTACGCGATACTTGAGAAATAGCTTAAGTGCGCTTCACCTAAATATCTCTACCAATTTTAGTACGAAATATTGGTATATCGGCGAAATATTCAAATATCGGTTAAATATTTGTAAAAGGTCATAGGATCGTTACAAATTATCATTATTTGTTATATTGAGGCTTATTCAGAGGAAAAAAAATTGATCTTTCCCCCTAGATTGTAGCCAAAGTAAAACTGCTAATTTTTCCTTTTGATGCCAATCCAAAAAAATCACGTTTTAACCATTTTTCCGACTGAATCGCTTTTTAGTACCAGAAATGGCCATTTCGTTCAAGTTTTTGGCCGATTACTTGCAAATAACTATATATATTTCCATTTTATTCGCTTGAATTTTCATAAAAGTGTCTCTGCAGATAACTTGAACGAATTTTTTAGTTAAATTATTGAAAAAATTCATTCATTTGTCAAAAAATTTCGGGTTTTGGAACAATTTTTGAGCGTTTGGTGGATATTAAACCAAATTAAGTCATGGAAACAGTAATATTTCAGGATTGGATATATCTCATATCAAAGCTGATGATCACAGCTAAAAAACGAGTTCAATGCGATCCACTTATAACGTCTAGTTGGAAAGTTATCTCTCTTCAAGTGATGACATGTCGATTTTTTCACGATTTTGGCACTAGTCATCACTTGAGAAGCCATAACATCTTGAGAGATCACATTATCCATATTTTCTAGATAAGAACGTCAGCTTTAAAATGCCGTTCAGCTAAATCTGAAATATATCACCTGTCATGACATTATTTGGCTCAATGTCCACAAAATCCCCAAAAATGAGTCCAAAAATCAATTTTTTCTATTAAAGAATATCTTTATGGATCCTTTTAACATCAGTACAGATAATTCAAGCATGTTTTTTAATGTTCGAGTGGAAAAGAATCATTTTTATAGAGAAAACTACATTCTGTGTAGTTTGGTACACTGTACACAGAAATTCCAGATGGCGCCAGCTGTATTAAATCGCTAGTTGCGCAGCTACGGTTGCTGTTTGAATTACACGCCAAAAAAATCCAAGTTCAAATTACCTCGACAACACTTTATCCCACATAAAATTGTTTTATTTTGGTTTTGGATCATACAAAGTTCAGTTGCTTATCCAATCCTATTCCGCATACTCTTGTAACGTGAATGAATACCGGGAAAATCCTTCATATTCTTCTCTTCATAATTGTTCAATTTCTGGTAATAATTTTTATTGCACATGGTGTGCGAATGAAATGTCATAGGGTTTTATCGTCTCATCTTCAGTCATTTTATGGAACGACAAGCTCGCCAAAAATAACAGTAGCTCGCAGAGTCTCAATGCAACATAAAAACAATGAACGTTTCCTATTCTTCGAGAAAACAACTCCTTTAAATGAATTGAAGATGTTATTATTGGGACAGATATAATAAATCTGGATGATAAATGTGATGTCTGCGAAATGTAGTTACAACTGGATAAAGTAAAAAAATGGTTTATTACTGGGCGAGTCAATTAAATTGTAATTACATTGTTTGAATACAGTTTTCATTCAGACATTAAATTATTTCCACAGACGGATTTTATTGTGTGGCAAGGATGAAAATGTGTTATATAAAACGGGTAGGGCATTGAATAGCCGTCAGTCGTATTGAAACAAATAAAATGAAGTACATTTCATTTGTAATAGCTGCTTTGATTGTCATTGCTTCATCACGGCCAGCTGAAGACGCCCAAGAGGTGTCTTTGAGCAGACGGAATGGAAGAGCAACAGACGACACAATTATTGGGAAATTCACCATCAAATGAAGATTCTATGGATGAGCTCAAAAGGGAAGAGTCAACCGAGCCGAAGCAGAAAGAGTCAAAAGAAGGAGAATCAAAAGAAAAACCAAAAGCATCGACCAAACTACCAAGTGAACTATCAACAGTAGAAATGGCCAACGAACAAACGAAAGTGCCTGAGCTTGTGGAGCCATCAACCAAAATACCAACGACTCAAACCAACTCAAATTCCGAATTTAAAAAAACGACAATCAGAAACAGAATTAAAGCCAACGGCAGCAGAGCCACCGTCAAACGAAAGCAGCACAGAAGATATAGGCGAAAATAAAGCCGATGTAGAGGACACATTTGTCATTCTGACAATAACTCCGCTGCAAGGTTTTGAATTGTTTGTAAATGATGTGAATCGCTTTATTCCCAACTTTCTTCTTTCATTCACTGAATTCGTAGTATAGTGACAGAGTGTTTTTCGCTACCAACAGTCCAGCAAAAGTCATTCGATGTGAATGAATAGATAGAAAAAGACAATAATAGAAATAAACTAGAATAATGGGATAAACTAGAATCGAGAAAACAATGGCAAGCAGACATATTAAATTGTATTAACTTTGTCAACAGTTCGCTGAACCAGATTAAAACATGTCGAAAGCACACAACAAGAGCCAACGATCAATGAACAATTCCAAAGTGCTTGCACCATTTTTGTATTTTTATACTGTAATATAAAATATTTTGTACGAAAATAAAACAAGTCGCAAAATCTAATTTATCATCTGGATTTCTTCTATTCATTCTTTTGTGTGTGCGCGCTTCTTTCCATCTAACACAAAGCTGCTCGAGTTATTGCAACAATACAGCTAATCTTTCGTTTGACACACACACACACACACACACTCATTCTGAAGTGACATTGTGCGTGTGCTATTGAAAGCAATGGAAAAAGTCAACAAAAGCTAAATGAAACACAGCGATTCTGGTTCACTCGCGTTCTTCTACAACAATCAGATCATTTAATTCATCTGAAGTATATTTAAAAAAGTACTCCTGTCAACTAAATGCCTTGGTAAATAGTAACATAAACTGATGCTTCGATTGTGTTTGAGAAATAATTGCCGATTTTACGTAATAATTGTGCTAAAGTGATGACATCGAAAATTAAAAGGCTCAACAAAGGGAATTTATCCACTCAACTCGCTCGAACATTCATCAAAATTTCAAGGACTTCAATGGTGTTAGGCCATTGCAATAAATAAATTGAATGATGAAAAAAATGTTCGTGCTAATTAATTTCACATGTTACAACTGGATCGTCTCATTGGCTTTGTACAATCAACGACAATTTTAAACAGTGCATTTGAGTCAAATTAAATTTAATTGAACAATTATTGTTTCGACAGAAAGTAAATAGTGAACGGATAATGTGATCGACATCTCATTTAGCTCAAATTAATTTCAATCAATTGTAATGACGTAAAAAAACTGTGTAGGATGTCCCGCAACTCTCGACCGCATTAACACATCAATCGAAATGAATTGGCATGGAAAAAGGCTATTGTTTCAGACAAAAAAAAAACACACACACATATACTATTGAATTGGGTGTATTTTTTTCAAATTCGAACGATGCATGTGAAAAAGTGGAGAGATTTAATTGAATACACAATATGAAGCCACACAAAATAATATCATTGTTCGATTTATAACAAATTATTTTTAAAAAAATTAATTTTCCACTTTCAATAAAATAATTAGTTCGGTTAGGTGCGTTTCCCATTTGAATCAACAATACAATTTGAATGAATTTCCG